GGGGGTGGTTGCTCCGTTGTCACTTTCAGTGGACAGTAGTTTGTATTTGTAGATGTATTGTTAATCATGTACATGTTTTCTTGAAAAGGCTGAGTTTGAGTGTGGTTGGTTTTGTGCAATGTCAAATCCTTTTTATGATTTCAAGGCATGAAATATAAAATCCTACCCTACATGCCTGATACTAGCATATGGGGATAATGTGGATAGCAGTCTCCGAATCACAAGTGATGGATTTAAAAAGAAAATGGGTTGATTTCAAATAGCGTAGTGTTTCCATATATTTTTAAAAAAGACAGATTTGACCTCTATGATGACACAGATGACGAGTCTGCTTCTTGTGTTATTGGTAATTGGTCAGTTTTTGGCCATAGCCAAGATACATAAAGAAAACGAGATGACAATCGAGGCATTTGTCTGAGAGTAATGTCCCTTGGCTTGATTGTATTGTACTATTTATGTGCTTTTCGTTATTTTTTGACACTGCGTCATTGAATATGCCCAAAATTTGGGGGGGGGGGCATTTTTTGTGTTGAATTATTATTGTCAGTTATTTTTATCAAATAATGGCACATTAATAGACGTGGATATCTTGCAAAGCATGCTGTCCGTCAAAGTTAATCCTGAGTAGTGTGGGAGTTGCAGCAAGATTGTTTTTCTGGAGCATTATAAATTCGCACAATCTCTGTGATGACACAGATGACGAGTCTGCTTCTTGTGTTATTGGTGATTGGTCAGTTTTTGGCCATAGCCAAGATACATAAAGAAAACGAGATGACAATCGAGGCATTTGTCTGAGAGTATTGTTCAATAGTGTGTGTTCTTTGTATTGTTTTATCTTTCTGTACATGCGTTTCATAACTTTGAAATGTGGGTGGTTGGCGGGTGCTGTGGTGTGGTTTGCTTCTTCTTTCGTATAAAAAATCTTATCGTCCTTATCTCCCCTCCGTTTTTTATTTTTGTTACTCTCTTGTAACACCTCTAATCTTCTGGCGCTCATATGACCTTATGCAGTTGCGAGTGCCGTAAAATCTGTACTGAAACTGAAAAAAAAACTAACTTTGAAATTTGAAATGCTTACATTTTGAAAAACTTCCTTTGATGGTAAAAAAATTTTTCTTCCAGGTGTCTGTGATGGTTCTTGCTCACACAAGAGAGCTGGCTTTTCAGATCAGCAAAGAGTATGAACGTTTCAGCAAGTACAACAACAATGTGAAAATTGCTGTTTTCTTTGGTGGCATGAATATCAAGAAAGACGAAGAAGTGCTGAGCAAAAACTGTCCCCACATTGTAGTTGGCACCCCAGGCAGAATTCTTGCTCTTGCAAGGTCTAAAGCTCTGGCGCTGAAGAATGTGAAACATTTCATCCTGGATGAATGTGACAAAATGCTGTCTGCGCTTGGTAAGTCATCAAAGCTTTTTTCTTTTAGATGAATTACAGAATGGGGTGGCATGTGTCAAAATTGAGAGTTCAGGGATAAGAAATAGATTATTTTCAGTATTATCAAAGCAATGAGATGATTGCCGTTTCATTGTTGCTTTTTTGCTTTTGTATTTCCTTGAGTACTGTATGTAAAATGCTACACCATCTTTTGCATCGCCTTACGTAATGTTTTAAGTGAGCTTTTTAATCTCTTCATTGTTCAGTGTGTACATCGTTGGAAGTGTTCCATTTCAGGTCCTTTTTAAACTCATTACTATTAGTTTTTTCCTTCTCCATGATGACACAGATGACGAGTCTGCTTCCTTTGGTCAAAGGTGTTTGGTCAGTTTTTGTCCACCCACTAGAGATCATTGGATATGTTGATGACACTCGAGGCATTTGTCTGAGAGGTTGTTTTTTTTTTCCATTGATGTCTTCATTAATTTAATGTGATGTTTTAATGTTTATGGTTTTTGCTTATCTTTTTTCATAGATATGCGAAGAGATGTGCAAGAAATTTTCCGGATGACGCCCCATGAGAAGCAAGTCATGATGTTCAGTGCCACCCTGAGCAAAGAAATCCGCCCAGTCTGCAAAAAGTTCATGCAAGATGTAATTTCCTCCCATCAACAACCTTCTCCTGCTCCATGTCCCTGGCCGATCTCAGCACCTCCCGGCTGATGATGTCCTACTCTTCAACGGCAATTTTGTCAAATTATTCCTCTTCACAACATCACAGCGCGCACACACAGTTATGGTAGTGCTAAAACACTGCAGTTCCATCACTAGATCAGATCTTAGTACTTAATCCTGCAATGTAAAAGCCATTAAAACATGCCTAGTAACAAAATTTCATAGAGAAGACATGGTGTATTCTGAATTGATCAGATACTTCCAAAATAATGAAGACCAGTAGTTCTCTTTCAAGTGCTTGAGAAACAACAAACACTCCAAGTCAAACCATGGCAGTCTAGAAATATACTTGGAGCACAAAATCAACGTCCACTACCATTAGCGTTAGGGACTGGTCGACACCAGGAGAAGCCTCAGAGACCGTCTGCGCTGAACGCGGGCGGTGAACTGGGCTTATAGAATAGCAATTTGCCTGTCCCACCCACCACAGCAGATAGACACCAGAACTAAAGAATGAAAAAGTTGATTTTGAAATGTCAATAGATCAGATCGTGTTGGCCAACAGATCCGAAGCATGTATACAGCACACAAATTACAAGGGTACAAGAATGCACAGAATTTGTAATCGCACAAAAGCAACATCCAACACACAACCCAAAGCTTGGTACGCCTCGGCGTCCATGGCAAGAAGTCGAGAAGAGCTTCAGCGTCCCAGTGGCTGGGTAGCCTCCGGCGTGGTCTTGGGGATCCTCGGTACTGATGTCATAAGCTCTGCGCGAGTGGGCAGCCTCGGAACCTCATCTGGAATGGTTGAGAGATGGTTCTTTAATTGTCCACTGTGCTGTTGCTGTTTGTGTTGTGATCTTGTGGGTGGAGGGAGAAAGCACCAGGCACTTGTGTGTAGAGCTAATTGTTAAATGATAAGAAATTCATTTTGAGTTGTGATACTGCTACCATATATTGAGATAAGTGGAGGTGGGGGGTCTGATTAGTTGTGTTGTCTGTTGTCCCATTTGTTGTAGAGTAGCAGAAAATGGTCTATAAATATATTGTCGAATTTACAATTTTCCCTCTGTCTTGTGTATGATCTCAAAGTCTGGTAAACGGAATTGCAACTTGATGATTTTTATTTCCCTTTCTTAATCATAACAACTGTTTATTGTCCGTATGGTTAGCTAGTGTGTTTCTTTACCATGAGCATGTATTTTCAGCCTATGGAAGTGTATGTCGATGATGACTCCAAACTGACACTGCATGGACTGCAACAGCATTATGCGAAACTGAAGGACAATGAGAAAAACCGAAAGCTGTTCGAGTTGCTGGATGTGCTCGAGTTCAACCAGGTACAGTTATTTTGTTGTGTTTGTCTTGGTTTGGCAATTTTGGAAAAAATGCATATATCTGTGCAATTCTACGTTTTGCAAGTATAGTTTTTGGTAAGTGGGGTTACCATATTTTCTTTTGAGTACTCGGGGGGTCTACGCCTTAAATCGATTTGAAATTTAAATTTTTCTTTATACTAAAATTGACAATTGGGGGTGGTTAATGTCTCATTTTTAGTTGTGAGTTGTGTGATCTGAAGCACTGTTCAAGAGTGGTGTTGTGACGGGGTGGTTGCTGCTAAAGGACGTATATCTGCACATTGCCAGCAATCATAAAAGTGTATGCACACATGTAAGTTGGGTGGGGAATTGCCAAGTGTTTTTCTGTCGGTGGTGGATCTCGTATGGTGAAAAAAATTAGTCTGAGGGGAGTCAATTTCATCAATCAAAAAACAGTAATGCATTGAAATATTTTTTACCACCCTGATAGTCCCAGCCTTGGCTTCTGGTCATTAGGTAGTTAGGTGGATATCACTACCAATGTCATTGATGCAGACTTAAAATTTTTGTTTTATTCCTGTTTGTAACTTATTTGACATTTATGTAATGGTAGTATTTCTACTGTCTCATCAGGTCATCATTTTTGTCAAAAGCATTCAAAGATGCATGGCACTTGCTCAGCTTCTACAAGAACAAAATTTCCCAGCTATTGCTATTCACAGAGCTATGACACAAGAGGAAAGGTGAGGATTTTAAATATTTTTGTATGTCAATTTTTGAGGCGCACTGTAATCCTCCCTCAGTATCATGCTTCCAGGTCTGTTTTTGGGGGGAGGGGGGGAAGGGGGGTGCGCATTTGAAAGGTGGGATAAAATGAGGTCAAACTTGCTGTAATTGCTACCTGTCCAAGATAATCACCTTTGCAAACGAAGTCCAAGACAACCACTTTTCTCCTCAACCATGGGTGGCGATCTTTGGGATTTGGACTTTACTTGGCTGTTAGGTTCCCATGTTTTAATCAGAGATTTGCTTTACTTGTTTGGAAAGTGTAATGTTTAATGTCTAAATGGTGTTCCTCTTATTTTTGTTAAGTGTTAGTATTGAGTTTGAATTGGGCTGTTTACTGATCATCAAACAATTGTAGTGCTGACTTCATTTCATGCAAGGGTATGTAGTGAATTTTATTGCTTTAAGTCTTTGCTTTCACATATTCACCTTTGTCTTTCACAGATTGTCAAGGTATCAGTCTTTCAAGGACTTTCAAAAAAGAATCTTGGTTGCTACAGATCTGTTTGGCAGAGGCATGGACATTGAGAGGGTCAACATTGTTTTCAACTATGACATGCCAGAGAACTCTGACACATATCTGCACAGAGTAAGTGGAAAAGTGTTAGTGGTGTGCAATGTTGGTTCAAATCTGGAAGTCAGTGGGTTTTCAGATCTCGAGGAGCACAGTTGACAATTATTTGTCTATTGTGAAAATGAAAGCAAGATGATATAAGCTGCAGGGGTCACATTTTTGTCTTATGTTTGTTCTTGTTATAGTTGATAAAAATTATGAATTAATCTCCATTGTCCTGCATTACCCAGTGATGAAAAATGGAATTACCATTTGAAAATGTCATGAAACCAACAACCGCGGCAATATTTACTTCTGAGGGTATGCTACAGGATGTGATATTTTGAGCAGTGATAGTCTCCCTTTACAAAATAGCCCAGCAGTTTGTACTTCTGGCTCTAAGTGGTCCCCTTTTGCACTTGCATCATCTTGTTTTTACTTCACATTCATTGTGTTGTGCTTGTAACACAGATGTTTTCACTTAGGTCTTGCCTTGTATACAGAATCGCCTGATTTATCTTGATAGGGACTGTTTACTCGCTATAGTTGCTGAATGCACGCCCAACACTGCTTTAACTGCATGTTTTACCGTTTGGCCTGATCCTCTGATAAAATGAGGCGGTAAAGTGAAAGTAGAATCGTTCTTCTTTCAAGTTTCTGAGTAGTTGAAATTGACCCAGAAATGGTGTGTGTGTGAATTTGAGTAAACATGATGTAATGCTGTTGAATCCTAGACGGATCAAAGAACACATACAAAGCTCATGTCACAATCAAACATATTTTTAAGACACTAGAAGAGGTAACCTATAACCCGAAATTCTGGAAGTTGACTCATGGAGATGTTGGGAATGATACAGGTGAAAAATGCTGAAGTAATGTTTGATCTAGTGCAAGATAAGTTTCTTAGAATTTTATCATTTCCAAATTATTGTTGTTATCAGATGTTAGACAGGCTGGAGGTGAAACCAATAGTATCTTTCTGGTTGGTATAGATATCTTGTGGAAAAAACATGGTGCAATGCCCAGTGATGAAAAATGGAATTACCATTTGAAAATATCATGAAACCAACAACCGCGGCAATTTTTACTTCTGAGGGTTTACTGCATCTTAGTCTGAAATTTTCGAAATAGTTAATTAATTTGGTACTTTTTTGCGTCCCAAGTTTTTTTCCTTCTCTAATGCGGTTGTAACTTTTGTAATGGTGTCACTGTTTTGAATTAGATTTGGTACGTTTTTGCATGGGTTTCATGGCAGACAAGTTACATGTTTGTATGTTTTTGCCCTTCATTCTAAACTAGCCTGATGTTGAGAAATTTTTCTCAACTTTGTTTAAGTTATTATATAGTCAAAAAATCTTTTCTTGTTTTGTTTCAAGTGTATGAAATTAAATAGATTTAAAGCTGCTTGCTGAATTATTTTAGGTTGTATAATGTGCAGATGAGTGTTCACAGAAGTTTCGTAATTGACAATCTTACATCACTGCCTCTTCAGAAGTGACACTTATATTAACTCTTTAAAAATTCATATAGGTTCATCAACTATTCAGCTATCATATCGAGTGACTTGCTTTGGTATTTACTTCAGTTCAGTGTGTCCATTCGTTGTGTAATTATTTTTAGTGTAACAGGCCGCTTCTCGGAAAGTGAGTACATGCTTAGGTCGGGCAACTAAAGTTGCGGAAGGTGCTGTGTAAAATGTCTTATGAAAAGTGTCCAGTAATGCCCAATGATGAAAAATGGAATTACCATTTGAAAATATCATGAAACTAACAACCGCGGCAATTTTTACTTCTGAGGGTATACGGCTTCTTAGTCTGAACTTTTCAAAATCACTTGGGTAGCCTACTTTTTGCATCCCAGACCTCCTCAAATGCAGTTGTACCTTATGTTATGGTTTCTCTGTATTGAATTAGATTTGGTACGTTTTTGTATGGATTTTGTGGCAAACACGTTTTAAGGTTCATTTTTTTGCCCTACATTCTGAACTAGCCTGATATTGAGAAATCTTTCTCAACATTGTGGAAGTTAATGTTTAGTAATATATATAGTCCTTTCTTGTCTTGTTTCAAATGTAGGAAATTGAATAGATAAAAAGTCCTTGAATTGTGCTTTCACAAAAGTTATCAATTTTGTAATTCACAATCTTTCATCACTACCTAGAAGTGACACTATTTCCTTGGTTAAATGTCTCATGAAACATTGTTTTTTTTGTTTTTGTAAAGTGTTTTACGGCGCTCGCAACTGCATAGGTCATATGAGCGCGCGGGACACACCTAATATTTTCAGTTGGTAGGAAATTTTGAATTTTGCCCGGGTGGCGGCCGAAGCCTACTCTTATCGATTTTAGACCACCAAGGGATCTTTAACGTGCGCAACTTACGGGCCCTCCGAGATTTTTCGTCCTTGTCCGAGAAGGCTAGGTGTAGATCTTTCCTACCAGATCAGGTGTGTGGCAGAAAGACAGCAGTAAGGAGGAGCCAAGGAGTAGCAGTAGAAAGGCTGCAGAAAGAGTCAGGAGCCCAGAGGAAGGGGCAAAGGAGGTTAGGGGGTGAAGGGGTGGGGGCAGAAAGTGGAAATGAAAGCAGACAACAGAACATTGCTAGAGAGCAGAAAAGGAGGTGAAAGGAGACAATTTTAGAGAAGAAATTTTTTCGGTTTTTCGGTCGCTACCCGGATTCGAACCCGGGACCTTTGAATGAGAGGCCAACACCTTAACCTCTAGGCCACGAGAGCCCCCTGAAACATTCTGTAATGCCCTGTGATGAAAAATGGAATTACCGTTTGAAAATATTATGAAACCAACAACCGCGGCAATTTTTATTTCTGAGGGTATATACTACAATATATAATCCCACTGGCTGTTGCATGTACAAAAAAAGTCTTGCGGTTTCATATTTCGGTCTGCTAATATTCAATACTGTTCAGGTTTGTTTTTTTAAAATAATTTTGTTTTGTTTTATAATTTTAAGCTGTTTAACCCACTCAGTACCATTGGATTTCCAGTAGGAAGATGGCTCAGGACCACGCAAAGGGGAATAAATCCATGTTTGTAATGTAGTGGGTATTTTGAAAAAATCATTATAAAATAACCAATCCATTGATCAAAAAAATCTTGAAACTTCTTCACAAATGAATAAATTTTAATTTAAAAATTACTTGTTTATTGTGTGTGTAGACTATTTCATAATTGAAGATAAAATCAGCCGAGTTGTAGTTCTATATCTAGATCTAGTCATGTGTTCCTCATTGACCTCGTTCTCATTTTCCGAATCACCCCCCAAAGGCACAATTAGATCACCAGCAATGTCACTTTCACTTCAATTGCTACCTTTCTGTGGGTTTTCTCCCCCCAGCACTGATATTTTCATTAAAATTATCCAAAAGTTCGTCTAAATCAGTCCGAACGCGATGCCGGCGGCTTGCGAAGAACGCTCGATCTTAGCTTGCGCGACCCGTGTGAACTGCAGTTTGTTTACATTGAATTTAGTCCAACTAAAATTTCCAGAGTTATGTCCCTATTGCTCTCAAGGAGAGAATGATTATCTATCGAAATGCGGGTTAAATACGATGGTTACTAAGCGTGTACACTTCCCTAGGAACAACGTTACTAGCGCGCAGCCGGCTACGGCCGTTATGGTACTGAGTGGGTTAAGCATTCATGATTTTCGCTGGGATGTGATACTGAACTTTCAACTGAGGTAGTGATGAGTAACGTTCAGTGTTTTTTTTACTCAGCTAGAGATATCATAGTGCTTCCACTCTTCCGTATTTTTACGGAAATCCGTACTTTCTGCCAGTTCCGTACTTGTCCCTCCATCATTATCTACTCCCTCCGTAAAAAAAAAATGCGACAGTGCAGGACTGCCGAAATTCCGTACTCGCCTTCGTATCGTCTTGTATAAGTTACGGATATTTACGGTAATTCTCTCGGCAACAAGTTAACGTTATAGAAACCTGCCAAATTGCGCATTTCCTGCAATCGGACATGATACCGCTATGTCCCAGTCCCATGCATTCATTGCGTGTTGGTCGGCAATACATTTTTTACCTGCAGATGGATCAAAATCTGGCGAACCTTTTGTGCCAACTTCCTCCTTTCTGTCATTCACTCGTTCCTTCTGTCTATCTTCGGATTGTTGCCGCGGCTGGAAAATCTGCGCGTTGATCAAGACTGATTTTGATCTTAGACAGATAATTACTGTCGGAAAGAAACTTTTTTCGCAAATTTTATTTAGATCTAGAGAAATTATCAATGCGAAGATTCTACGGCACGTGAACGCAATATAAGGGCCGCGATGAAAGAAATATATGCTGATACGGTCGTGCCCACTACGGATGGGATCGGCCGACTGCGCTGATCGCCCGACTCGGTCGAACAAACGTGTTTGCTTTGAAACTGAAAACAAACACGTTTGTTTTTGAGGCGATCGAGTCGGACGATCGGCCCGATCGGCCGATCCTGTCCATAGTGAGCACCACGTATAAAATCAAGAATAATTCGAAGTGGTGTTCTGAGGTTGTGACAGGCGACTTTCAGACATGAAAATTTAGAAAAAATGTGGGTATACGCTGCGCAACCGTATTTTGAAGGTACATATTATTCATTATTCCCAGGTTTGCATGCTGTCAATGGTGCGACTACAAATTAATTGAATTGTAGTAGCAATGAAAGGGGAACCTGCTTTTAAACATTTCCAGCATTGGAAAGATATGCTGGCAATGAAGTTGAACAAGACAAAATGTTGGTGAAAAAATAAATATGGACTGTAGGCAATATCTTCAAACAGGCTCGTAAATGCCATTTTCTACCCTCTAAAAGCAGTAAATTTCAATTTCTTCGGGAGCTTCGCCCCCTGTACCCCCACCGGGACGCTGTCCCTGGACCCTGCTGGGGGCCGCAGGGGCCCCCAGACCCCCTGCAGAATTTTCCTTACTTTTCAGCTTCAGCTAGTGGAAGCACTGATCATAGGTGTTCAGAATGTGGACAACAAGCAGGCTTCCTTGGTTTCATATGCGGTGTAGAAAGGGGAGAGTTGACTCTGATGAGAGTTGTACTGCATATTCCTTTTCAAACAAAATGTTACTGGCCTGTGATTTGTATTCTTTTAGGATCCCACTTTATGGGAGTGAATCATGGGAGGGGTTTTAGTAGTTACATGTGGTATTTATGTTGTTTGTGACAAATGTCTTACTGTGCCCAGTGATGAAAAATGGAATTACCATTTGATAATGTATGAAACCAACAACCGCGGCAATTTAACATCTGAGGGTACATCACATGACATTTATTCTTCGTAGAGTGGCCTCTATTTTTGAAATTTACACTAAAGGGTACTTATACTCTTCCCATAGAGTTGATGCTTATTTATGGATTTGTTCACTCGCCTGGTCTCACTTCTTGAGCTGTACCTTTTTGACAGTTTACTTGAATTTGTTTCTCCAGGTGGCTCGGGCTGGACGTTTTGGTACCAAAGGTCTGGCCATCACCTTCGTCTCGGATGAAAAGGATGCCAAGATCCTCAACGAGGTTCAAGAACGTTTTGAAGTGAACATCACAGAGCTCCCTGATGAAATTGACATTTCCTCTTACAGTAAGTTTTTGTGGATTGTACTGGCTATGGCAAACTGGAAAGCATGGTTTCCAAGAGCAGGGTAGTGTTGAAGGCTGCTTTTGGTCTAAGTTGCTTCCTTGATAGGTCTTCTCAAATTGCACCAGTAACATCATGGTATTATATTGATACCTCAGTCACGGCTTTCCGTATCCAAACGGTAACTGTCTTTGATTGTAGCTTTGATTTTGACTTGTCATGACTTGAGTTCCAATTGATTTTTTTACTGCTTACTTCGTAGCCCCCAAGTTTGCACTTATCCTTTGTTCGAGGGGAAAGTCTTATTTTCATCGTGGATTAGTGAACTCCTAGTAAACCTCCGTGGTGGGGCAATCTTGGTCCTTTTTATTTTTCATGATGTGTAGCACAAAGTATCTCCAGTGGTGACTGGTGTGTCTATCATTGGTCAAATTGTGTGCTACATTAAAACACTTGGTGATTGGCATCGTTGGAAGGCAAGCTTGTGTATTGTTCTTCTTGGTTTTTGATCCAGGACATTTGTACATTGACAACTTTTATGGGGGGAGGGGGGGGGGGGGGGGTGTGTACCAGTGACAATTATCAGTAAAAATGGATTTTGCAAAGGTCAGTGTTCATCTCTTCTCTGATTCTTACTCCACTTGTTCCAATGTGTTTGGGAAGTTTGGTCATGTTCATATTTCCCTTTATTTGAAATGCCTATAGCCTTGTGGGTGGTGGAGGGTGACACTAGTTGATCATACTTCTTTACCTTCCCTCTGTTGTTTCCATCTTATTATTTCTCATTATTAAATGACTATATGAGTCTGAGTTGGCTCATTACATGTTTATGTACAAGTTATTATGTAAATTTGAATTAATTTTAGATTGGGAGTCCAGTTGTTGAATCCTAGTTTCACTGTATGCTAGTATTTTTTATATGCTGAAAGACACAAATGAGTTCTAAGGTTGACGCATCAATTGTTAGTTGTTTTGAGATTGACAATGGATACTACACTTGTTTTGTTCCTTGCTCCCAACTTTTTCTCAGAGTGATGATAAAGTGTACTGTTCCGGCTTTTGTTGGCATATTTTATTGTCATGCTTGTCTTCAAGCAGCACAAAGTATCTCCGGTGATGACTGAAGTGTCTATCATCGGTCGAATTATGTGCCACATTAAACACACCTGGTGATTTGGCATCGTTGGAAGGCAAACTCATGCGTTGTGCTTCTTGGTTGTTGATCCAGGACATGTATTTTTACAACTTTTATATGGGGTTGTTTGTACCATTGTGACAATTATCAGTAAAAATTGATTTTTTTAAGGTCAGTGTTCCTCTCTTCTCTGATTCTTCCTCCACTTGTGGTTGGTCCCTCCACTTGTTCCAATGTGTTTGTGACGTTACCGCATGTTCATATTGTTTCCCTTATTATTTGAAATGCCGATAGCCTTTTGGGTGATAGAGGGTCGATCCTACTTCTTTACCTTCCCTCTGTTTCTGTCTGTCTTACTATTTCTCATTACTAAATGACTATCAATGTGCTTCTCTTTACTCAAACAAGTAGGTGGCTTGTGAAAGGACTTTGCTGAGTGTGAGCTTGCTCAATACATGTTGTTTACAAGTTATTTTGTTTATTTTAGTTAGTTTTAAAGATTGGGAGTCCTGTTGTTGAATCCTTAACAATGGATTCTAAGACTGGTTTTGTTCCTTGATCCCAACTTTTTTCTCAGAGTGATGGTAAAGTGTGCTGTTCCGGCTTTTTGTTAGCATATTTTATTGTCATGCTTGTCTTCAAGCAGCACAAAGTATCTCCGGTGATGACTGAAGTGTCTATCATCGGTCGAATTATGTGCCACATTAAACACACTTGGTGATTTGGCATCGTTGGAAGGCAAACTCGTGTTGTGCTTCTTGGTTGTTGATCCAGGACATACCTTATTTCACAATTTTTAACTACCGAGTAGAGGGGACTGCTGCTTTTTCTTTCCTCATCCGTACTATCAATTTCCCCTCCACTTTTGTATGCTTGTCACTCTCTTGTGAACTGCTATTTCCGGGGTGCCTTGATAGTCGAAGCAGACTTTGTGCTGTTGAGGCTAGAAGGTGAGCAGAGTAAGCCCAATTCCCTGTAATGACTTCTCTGTTGACATCCACCCCTTGGCGCTCATATGACCATAGGCAGTTGCGAGCGCCGTTAAACTTTACTAAAAGTACCGAGGTAAAGTTGTTACACGTGTAATGCTCTATTTTTAAATTGTAATGTTTTTTGGACACAATATTGATTGTTTTTGTTTTTGTTTCAGTTGAGGGTCGCTAAAATGGACACTGGCCTGCTTTCCTGGGATCAATGATTCTTGTCATTATGGATGTTGTTTGCACATTGATGTTTTTTAAGTATAACATTGTCACAGCTTCATTTTTCTGATGAATATGTCGTTTCTATTCTTGTAAATAAATGCTCATTTAATATGTTAATGCCTTGTTTCTTTTTTACTTCAAGAAATCAGTTTTTGAAAAATTGTCTTTATTATGGATTGCTGTTAGCTTAGCAAATCAAAATAGAGTATAACATGAAAAGGTATTGGATGAACCATGAATGTTGCCTTGCATTGCGTATGCAGGAGGTAACCTGTAGTCACACTCGTATTGATAGCTTCTTCTGTATAAAAGAGTTCCCAACATCTGTGAAGACGCAAGCAGACACTTGGTAATATTTTACTTTTATTTGTGGAGGCTTTGGATAAACGTTCACGTATAGAACTATTGGAAAAAAATATACCCGTTTCTTTGAGATCGGACCAAATTTTACTTGGAAGCAACTGCAATGTTTTCTTCATTCCTGACAGGCAGCCATTTCATTAGATTTTATAGTGTTGATGGAAGAGAATACACCTTCATGGTAGCTTACATAGCTATATATTGTTACGCTCATAAGATAATTGCCCAAGTCATTTTTTGAGTTTTTGGTTCTGAAATGATGAGCAAAGTTATTATTATAGTTCACTTCGACAAAAGAATAATCCAAAAATATAAAATGGGTGTACTAAAATTTAAGCGTTTCCAATAGTCAATTGTTCAAAAGAAACTTTTTTTTCTCAAAATGGCGAATGATGACAATGGCATTTAATCTTATGAGCATGACGATGTGCTGACTTGCAATGCATCAGTTTGGGTGATATGGATTGCATTATAATGATTGCAGAAGGGATGGCTGTGTGCAACAAAGAATAGAATTGTTTTTTTTTGTTTTGGTAAAGGTGTTTTTGTACCTCCATTGACATGTGATTTAGTCTATAGATCATTTTAGGAGACGGGCTTTAAATATGCCTGTGATTGTTGGGACCAGCAGACCATAGAACACTCAGAAACATTCTCAGCTTCCCGGGAAGCATTCAGTGCAGGCAGCTGATTAAGCGCTCAAACACTAACAATGAACAAACTGACAAGATCTTTCACTGTCTGTTGCTGGGTACCGGTTTTCACCTGGGTGAAGTTGGGAAAATTCGTGTAAAGTGCCTTTCCCAAAGACAACGTCAGGCTTGAACCTCTGAAGTGGGTGGTTGGCGAGTGCTCTGGTGTGGTTTGCTTCTTCTTTCCTATCAAACATCTATTGTCTTTTTCTCCCCTCTTCTTTGTTTATTACTCTCTTGTAACACCTCTAACCTTCGGCACTTATATGACCTTATTGTGTTGCAAGTGCCGTAAAACACTTACAAAAAAAAAAAAACCCACTCTGAACCCGCTACCTCACGATACTACGAGGATTAATTTTATTTTAATGACCAATCACAGTGACATGAGGCATGTTATTTTCATTATATTATTATCCAATCATGGGTCTCAAGCTTTAGGTTGACCCCTTTACATCTTCCTTGTAAGGACTTCTCTGTTGACATCCACGGCTTGGCGCTCTATGACCTTATGCAGTTGCGAGCGCAGTAAAACCTCTACTAAAACTAAAATTAGTAAACATTTGGATGTAGACATTGGTCAGGAAAAGGAAAGCACCCATGAGTATGTAGTATGTGACCCCTTTCGATGCAATTTTGTAGTTGTAGGCCTTACCCACCCAGCGTGCAATTTGTAGGTAGATAGTGGAGCTCAAATGCTGGTGCCATGCTCTGGAAAAAAACGCATTGATGAGGTCACACTACTCCCTGGTGTGTTCTTGTTTGGGGCAAAACATTGTACCAACTTAACATGGGGCGCTCGTGGTCCTGGAAGAGTCGCAGAAATTGATGTAGGCATACTGTACAGAAAAGTAAGATGAGATAAGATAATATTAATACTGTACTTTATCCTAGATGAATATATAATAATATATATGAAAGTCCTGAAATGCTATGTTTGGTCAACCCTTCTATATGGCTGAGAATGCTGGACAATCACTAGAGACTGAAAGTAAAATAAAAGCAACAGAAATGTGGTTTCTTAGGAGACTGCTAAGAGTATCGTGGAAAAGAATTCAAATGAGGTAGTGCTTGATGAAGCCCACGAGGGACACTCAATCAGGAAACTACAAATGCAGTTTTTGGGACACCTGGATAGACATTATAAGGGTCTTGAACATCTAGCTCTCACTGGCAAAACTGAGGGCAAGCGAGGCAGGGGTAGGCCCAGAACAACATACTTTTATTAAGGAACCTAAGCAAATTAAATGGGTAACAGGGAAAGATCAGGGAAATGTAGCTTTTTTTGAGAGCATCCGAGCAAAGGAATGAATGGAAAACCATGATCGCAGATATCTGTCACAGATCTGGCACTGGATGATGATGATCCCAGAGGGATAACATCAAGAGGCTAGACCAGGATAGGGACAGGTGGATAGTGTTTGTTGCCTATACCCTGATCCAGGGTGAGTAAGACAATGATGAATCTCGTGATCTAGAGGAAGAGGTACGGTGTTCGCCTCTCATTCAGTAGGTCCGGGATTCGAAACCTGACGGCAACAAAAATCTTTCTTCACTCCTTTACTGTTCCCAAGACATTCTGTCATCTTTCATCTCCACGTTCTTCCTCCCCAACCCTGGCCTCTGGGCTCCTCTCCTTCCCTCCTGACTCTTCCTACAAGATCCTGATGTACTGCTCTTGACTCCTTTCAGCCATACCCTTGATCTTGGGGTAGGCAATATCAAACACCTTGCCTTCTTGTAGTTCACTTTTTGAACAAGGTCAAAAAATCTTGGAGGCCCCCTGTGCAAAATGCGCATGTTAAAGTTAAAGATCCCTTGGTGTTTTGGTGGTCCTGAAATCTTATATTATGAGAGTAGGCCTCAGCTGCCATCAAGACAAGATTCAAAATTAATTCCTAGTCCTACCAAAACTGAAGATACTCTAGTCAGTAAAAAAAACAGAAAATTGGAATGTGGCTACCTGAAGACAAGGAGCTCTACTAAGTAGGAAAAACTCACAATGTCACATATGTGTGTAAAAATCAGTTGAACTGCAGGTTGAAGAACCAGCAGTCGATTATCCTTGAAATCTAGCAGGGAAACAAAGAAGAAGATCAAGATTTACAACGCAGATGTAATCACATTCGCGAGAGTAGATGATTTGTCTCAACAATATATTATATATTGGGCATAGTTTTTTTTCAAGACAGATGATCGCATTTCATGATTTTATTGCCTCAAAAATGCAAATATTTGACGTAATTTCCACAAAAGTTCAGAGCCCTCCCTTGGCCAACATTGCACGGGCCACTGCGCTAAGGGATCCAGCTCTAGACTAAAGTGTGACGACTGCTCTTTGTGTTAGGGTCATTCCGGAGTTTCACAAAAGGGTCGATGTTAAATAACCCCAAGCTGAAGATCTAATTCCCATAGTAAATGAATTGCTCTTTCTGTTAAAAAATTCTATTGGTGCCTGTTTTTTTAGAACCGGTATTTAACTTATTTCATGGGAAAAAACCAAACTGAAAACTTTTGACACTCTAAAGGCTTTCTATAAATTTACAACCCAAAGGCAATACCGTGGAGTCCACTAAAACCTAAATCTGCGAGAAAATTGGATTTTCATAGGTTCAGTCAGGTTTTCAGTTGAAAGGTTACTCAAAATAGAGGGGAAGAAGTGGAGAGATATTTTTTTTTACAACTAACAATAAATTACAGCTGTTTTATTTATTAAGTTTTAAGCTGACTCCACTGGATATGTCATTGAAAAGATGATATTTAATCATCTATCCTTCTGTGAAACATTCTAGAGTGGAACTCAGACTCAACGAGCTCGGATTCAACGAGATGAGATAGATTCCCCGTTTTTTTTTTCTTCTTTAAAATCAATAAAAATAACCTGGATTCAACGAGCACTTAAATCAGCGAGCTCGGATTCAACGAGGTCGCTTCCAGGGTGAACAGCCCCCGCAGACGTAGCTTCGCTCATTTTTCTCCCAGAACGAACTTTATCTATTCCCGGAAACCATCCATTGCATCTGCATTGTGAACCATTATTCACCCTGCCGATTGCATGCGACAAATCAGCGGCCCTTTTCCATACCAACACATGCGTTGTTGGCACACGCACGTGTCTACCCTGGCGTGTGTCGGGGTCGGATGGGCGGCCTGCACACGCGTGGCCGTGGCTGTGTGTGCGTGTCGTGGAGGGGGGGGGCACTAGCGGTCCGGGCGTTGAACGTCGCAGATACAAACGTGTCAGTCTTTTTCTTCCGTCGGCAACTGATCATTATTACAATGGTAAGCTAGTCTTGACGTAGATCTACGTAATGAATTGTGCATTGGTCTATGGAATCAAAAGTTGCCGAACGCTTGGCTCTACACAGCAACACAACCTTTTGGTAAACAATCGAGAAGTCACAGGCGTGTGCATTTGAAAAAATCGGTCTTATACAACATGCACCATTGTAACCGAGGAAAAACCGAACCTTTTCATGATTTACAGAATTTTGTGTTTTATTGTGATACAAAAAAGAAAACAGTGATCTGAAATTCCCCGATTTCACATATACCAACTGATCAGCAGGTGTTTATGCTATTTACAGTCTACAGCAAGTCTGCGTGGCTTAGGAAATGTGAATATGAATTTTTTTAAAATTGAGAAATTATTTCTTCAAGGAATAGGCTACGAAGTTCATGTATCGTCTTCCCAAACCTAAATAGGTTGAGGACAAGAAAAAGACATGCACGCATAAAGCTTCATCCATGTTACAGAGAAATATAATAATAATATTTGACAATATCATGGACATTAAATTAATTTAAATTAATCTTTCTTTCCTTTTTGCCACTTAAAAAGAAATTCTTCAACCCTCCCCCTTCAAAAAGATCTATTTGTCCATGCATCTTTCACTACTATTAGGACATAGACCCAACCAACCCTTTTGGTTGACCCAAAACCTTTCACTACTGAGGCGTGAAACTTTCTCAAATTTTTGTCAATTTCAAAATCAAGGAAAAAACAGTATAAATTAATTTACTGTATAGAAAGACAAATTTATACGGCCATCAGAGACTAGTTCTCATTTCGTCACAGTGTTTTTGCCAGTCTTTATCAGTGGAATCGGAGCTGGTTCCACATTAAGCTCTTTCCTCAGTTCATCCAGGTCTTGTTCCCAGTGCCTTTCGAAATAGACATTCATCAAAAATTTGGAATTGTAGGCCGAACGAATAGCCCAAGGCAGGTAGGTGTTGGTGTACTTTTGACGATGTCTGAAATAAAACCCAGAGAAAACCAACACTTCAATAAAAAATAGGTATTAAAATCAATTAATCAATTGTACAGGTTCATACAAAAATTATATGAACTGCAAAATTAATATGTATAGGCCTATCTACCGTACCACTCTCTCTACCTGGATTAACATTGGAAACAAAGCTGCAAAAAAAATAAAAATCTTCACTTGTTAAAAAAATTAAAACAGGCCGACAACATAAAAAAAGTGTAAAAATTCTCTTGTTTCATTTGGAAAGCCGGCAGACCAAAAGATCATATTTCATATGGTACTACAGTTAATATTAATATTGTCTAAGATGTTCACCCATTAATGAGGAGAAAAGAGGATCTTTTATACAGTGTCATTACAATGTAAAAAAAAAACTACAAGGGAGGAAATGTGAAGTGGCTGTTTGTACAGGTGATTGTTTTATACAAGTGTTTTATCACATATAAATGTTATATATTATTATTATTTAAGTGGCGTAAGAGCAGGCTTTCGACTTTAAATTGACTGTTTGAAAGTTTCATGGAGAAGCATCAATACTTCAGGATTTGCTGCCGAAAAGTGCTCCACTTCAAAACAAGAGACTTCAACAGTTTCATGGAGACTATCAATACATTATATGAAATGCCCTATTCCTTTTAGTAGAAACACAAGCATTCGCCCTAAAAACGACTCCTAGATTTAGTGACTGAAAGAAAGGTGCTACGAAATCAAGTTTAATTTCCGAAAATAATAATAGTCATAACAATCGAAGAAAGACAGTTGCACTTACTTAGGTCCTAGCCTAACTGGACCAAACAGGGCAGCAGTGACACACATGGGAAGACCGGTCTGAATAGCCTCGAACCACTTGACGGCCACCTCACCAAGCATGTTGGGAGGCATGCCGAGGAGCGTGTGCATCAAGTCATGGCACTGACGGTACCGCAGCATCACGTACATCAGCTCTGTGTCGTCCACAAAGTTCACCGGTCGGCGTGCATCTGGGGAAAATCCCTGATGAAAAGGGGAGGAAAAAAGTAAAAAGAAGTTAATATATTTAAAATGAATCAAAACTATCACATTAATAGTAATAGCATACTTACAACAAAAGAGAAAAAAAATCAAGAGTAAGATGATATCTATACCGGTATGGTTCAAGACACATAAAAAACTGGGACAATTGTGAAACTTTAAAAAAACCTTCAAAATCAAAAGTGCAGTAAAAGGGTGAATTAGAAGATGAAAAATGGGAGTTGCAACAACTCCAATACTCTCCAAGGGTATCTGCTGCAACATCCCCATTGCAAGCATATATATATGTTAATTACCAACTTAAACTGTCATCTGTTACCGGTATTGTAAAATAAATCTCACTAGAGTAGAGTGATCAATAAAGTGATGTCATGAAACATAGGGCTTACCAAACGCTGTCACTTGCTCATATGTAGGTGAACTAACTTAATAGACAAGAGGCCTTTGTAAGACCATGACCAAATGAAGGTGGTGCGACAGATGTACATTTGCTATTCTTGTGACATTATACACAGTGCGTAGGCCTGAGGGTGAGCGGATAGTTGGCGGGTGTTCTGGTATGGTTTGTTCCTTTTTTTCTTAGATTTTCTATCAAACACCTGTCATCCTTATCTCCTCTCCTTTTTTGTGTTTGTTACTCTCTTGTAACACCACTAATCTTTGGCACTTATATGACCTAATTGTGTTGCAAGTGCCATAAAACTCATACTAAAACAAAACAAGATGTGTGTAATACACGTAAGCAAACAGTATAATGGTGACGCCTCCCTTTGCCTAACAATCGACACACATGCACTCTCGTGTCTTGTTTTTCTGTTGTACTATCTTGAAGTGGGTATGACTTGATGATTTGCATTACTTGAGGGTTACTAGTAGTAGTGAAGATTTAGAATTTAGACCAACCCCCCCCGAATTTCTTTTTGGTATAGCATTTCGGTTAATAGACAAGTTTCTTACAAAAACAAAAATTGGGGATTCTATGTTTACTTGCTGCGTATTGGATTATATGCAACTGTAGCGTACATCTTCTTATTTTGTCGCTTTTAGGGACAAGCGGGCTAACCCAGATTTTGGGGGTTTCCAGAAATCTTGACCTACACTGTGAGATCATTACAAATCAGTATTTTATCGCCTCAAACACGATGATCTGTTGTTATTTCGACAAAAACACCGAGCGTTGACCCGGCCGGCGTCGCACCGGCCCCCGCGGCGAGCGAGTCGGCTCTATACTGTAGTGTACCCCGCGTGCGGAGTCACATGCTTTCCGAGTCTCGCCGAAGGATTGATAAAAAATAATTCCAAGTTGATTACTTTATTCTAATAGGAAATAAACTGATCTCTTAATGAACACCTTTTTTAAGCCAGTATTTTACATATTTTGTGTTAAAAGTGATCTTTAAACATTTTGACAGTTTTTTTAAAAGCTTTCTATTTAGACGCCAAAGGCCAAATATATACCACGGGAAAGCCCGTTTAAAATTCTACAGCTCTCCGACGGTATTTAATCATCCCTCGTTTCGCGAAGCATTTGAATGCACGCGTGTCAATTTTTCAACCGGCCGACCACGCATTCCGACCGCAAGGGGCTTCGCTTTCGTCGGCGATTCTCCAGCTCCTAATAATCGGACATAAAAACAACTTACACCATTGTAACGAGGAAAAGCTAAACTTTTACAAGGTGTCCGGCATTTGGTGTTTTATAGCGGAAGAGCAAAGAAACAGCGATCGGAATTACCCCGATTTCACCGATACCACGCGGTCGGAAGGCCATGAGTGCCCGCGAGGCCGTGTTTACGCTACCTACTATAGGATACGTTTGGTTTCACTGGTGTGTAAATTTGTTTGGTTATAAAGAAAACCCTCCTTGTCTTTTAAAGAAACTGTACAAAAGGCAAAAACTTTACCTTTGATTTTCTCAAAACAGCCTTTTTCGGGATAGCTCCCTTGTGCTTAAAAGCGACCATTTTCTCTCAGTCATCATCAGTGTGCTGGTATGTTTCTCTTTACTCCAAAGTCACATACTGACTTGTTCTACTATAACATATAACCTTTGACAAAACTGAAAAAAAGGTACTGGTTCATTCTAACGATTCTCAGATTTATTATCTTAATTAAGCATAGTCGAACCTGTGCAAGATGGAACCGTAAGGGAGCCGCACAAAAAAATCCCATCTTAGAAAGGGGAAATGAGGGGAAGAAGGGGGAGGAGGGGGTCTCTTTCCATTTCTGCGTTAGACAGGTTTACATTTTAAAGGAATAATTAAAGAGGAATTTATAAATGGGGGAGTGGGGAAGATTCCGTTACGACAGGTTCCCACCTTACTCAGGTTTCAGTTAAGCCATGTTCGACTGTACAGACATTTTCTTACATTCTTATCAAGAAAATGCCAGTATTCCTTTCCAAACGTCCCTTCTGGTAATGACCCCAAATATGGCACATCAATAGTATCTGTACTGATCAATGGCTTGTCTCTGAAAAGTAAAATAACAAAATGAATTATTGAAAAAAGAAAAACTTTCATCTTAAGTCATCAAATGATAGCCATAGCAGACATTTCAAAAGTTTTCTTTTTATTACGAATTAAGATTTTTCAAGCTACCGAGAATCTCCCACTATTTACTCAAAACAAAGCCTTTATAAATACCTAAATGACCAAAATCTTTTATGGCAAAAGAGGGTCAGAATATGTGAGGCAACGTGGTGAAACCAGGCGCTTGTCAAAATAACCAAATTGTAGAAACAGGCATTTTTGCGGCAGTTTGGAAATTTTTATCAAATTTTTTTATTTGGCTTAACCTCTTTTATATCTATATAAAAACACACTTCCATGTGATTTTTACTGAAAAATACTGATTAAAGGCATAAAATAAGTCACTTTTCAGTTTTCAAAGACTCGTTAGCTATTGGAGTTATCTGAATTTGGCGGCCATTTTCTCGCTTATTTCACCACATTTATTACTCAAATAGTGGATGGACAAAGAGGCAAAGGTGATTTTCAACTTTGATGAGAACTTTCGGATATTTCTTGAGTTTTTTTTCGGTTAAACAAGCCTATAAAATGCTAGTACCTGCAGTGAAACAGAATAATGGGTCGGATGCTACAATGAAGCATGCACAAAAACCAACAAATTATAACCAATGCTAAAAGTGTAACGACCCTTGGCATTAGTTATCAAACAGTAGAAGGACAAAGAAGTAAAGAAGATTCCAGGTTTTGAGAGCACATTTGGCTTCGTTTTCAGTTTATTATGACAAACAAGCCTATTAAAAAATGCCAGCACCAGTAGTGCAACACAATAATGTGTTGGATGCTACAACTGGGCATGCACAAAATCTAGTAGAGAATAACCAATACTGAAAGTGCAACGACCGATCACCCTAGTTTCATATATATAGTAGGACGACAAAGAAATTTTTTTAAAATCAGGATTTTGAGAGCACATTCTGCTTCATTTCGAGTCTTTTCGGGCAAAAAAGCCTTAGAAATGCATGCACATGTAGTGAAACACAATAATTTGTTGGATACAACAACTAGGCATGTAGAGAAACTGATAATTTATAACCAAGACTAAAAGTGTAACGACTGACCCCATTAGTTACTCAAATAGTAGAAGGACAAAGAAGTAAAGATGATTTTAGCCTTGGATTGGAGATTTGACTTTGTTTGAGGTTTATTCGGGTACAAAAGCCTTGAAAATGCTAGCATCCGTAGCGAAACAGAATAATGTGTCAGAAGCGACAACTGGGCATGCACAAAAACTGATCAATCATAACCTATACTAAAAGTGTAACGACCGACCGCATAAGTTACTCACTCAAATAGTAGAAGGACAGGGCAAAGAAGGAAAGAAGATTCCAGGTTTTGAGAGCACATTTGGCTTTCTTTTCAGTTTATTCCGACAAACAAGCCAAAAAAAATGCTAGCACCTGTAGTGCAACACAATAATGTGTTGGATGCTTCAACTAGGCACGCACAAAAACTGATAAATTGCAACCAATACTAAAGTGTAACGACCGACCCCATTAGTTACTCAAATAGTAGAAGGACAAAGAAGTAAAGATGATCTTAGCCTTGGAGTGGAGATTTGACTTTGTTTGGAGTTAATAGGGCAAAGAAGCCTATAACGTGCAAGCACCTGTAGTGAAACATATTAGTGTTGGATGCTTCAAATAGGCATGCCCAAAAATGGGTAAATTATAAACAATACTAAAAGTGTAACGACCTCACTTTTTTCAATAAAAAATATTGGAGGTCTATTAAAAATAAATGGATATTTATTTCATTGGATCTTGGGTTTTTGTTCCGCAAATTATGATCTGAAATGTGGGATCTTAGCCGAATGTAGACCTTCAGAGTGAATCAGAGCGGGATCTTAGGGGTGACTTTTGTATAGTAAAAATTCTGTTTTCTTAAAACAGCGGGATCTTAAGCAAACCAGGATCGTAAGCGGTGGGATCTTAGGCGGAGACTTCTGTATTATGTACAAAAAAATGCAAGGGGGGGGGGGGGGAGTGGGACATGGACGTTTGTACAGGTGAATGTCTTAAACAGGTGGCTATAGGAGCAGGTTCGACAGTGTGGTATTCCTAAGCACCAGGGTTCACAGATAAATACCATACTTTTGTGCTAAAGTGAAACAACTCTCCCCCAATGTGACATCATCACCAACTTTACGTCAATCTTAGGTATGCTAAGAGCTATGGGATACTAGAATCGGGGGACCTCGAATTCACCTCATAAAATAAGTTACCTGTCGGGGAAGCTGATCATAAACTGGCCCCCCATAGGTATCGATATGGCTAAATTTGGCAGTTGCACAGACATCGAATACTCGCTACTACCAAAGATTCTCTGCTACCAAGATGTTTCAATTGCCCTATCTCGCGTCCGGGTGAGACCTTGTGTTAGCCGCTTGACGGCACGTGACACAAGTGTAAACAAAAGAATGAGTTTAAAATATCACAACCCTCACTGATTCTTATCCTATTTTAATAATTGATATCCAACATAAAATGATAATTATATAGATCTACCCTGTTTGAAGTCCTATTCCTACCTCCCCATGATGAGCAAGGATTACTGTAACATCGTACTTCAAAAGAACACACACACGCAATTCTCAGAGATATGAAAGATCATTTACCAGTTTCGATACCTTATTTCTGCCATTTTAAAACTATTTGATTACAAAAGGGTGGCGGGATTAAGGATCAAACTTTCCTCAGGTAAGGCTGTGGTGTAATGGGGGGGCGAATTGCATTGTGTCCATTAGAATCTGAGTGATTTATGTAAGAATCATGACTACATGGTTGCATCATTCCTCTTTTCCATAAAACATCAGATGGAGAACATTTTCCTACAAAAGTAACAAGAATTCTAATCTCACACAACTTCCCATCAGTTTTAATTGTTATCATGCTATTCAAATAAGAAACCAGCTGTGCCACAGCGACTAGCACTGCCTGTATGAGAGAGACAAACAAGATGCCTTCGGGACATATTATATGAACAAAAAACACAGGTATTCCGAGCACTTACTCTAAAATCTGCCTTCCAACTGGGTCAGCCAGCATTTTCCTCTGCATGTACTTCAAAGCTGGGGGACCTGTTGTTTCTCCCAAAGCACAAATCATGTCTGTGAATTGAGCAAAATGAGCACTCACAAATCTTCATACATATTCCACTGTTACTCAACAGTGACACAACAGCTTGGCATATAAATAGTGCTTTAACTATTTTTAATTACTTCAATTCATTTCTTTTGAAAAAAAATGTACTTTTCATACTCTTGAAAGCCATTACTTCAGATCCCTGAAGATAGTTTTTCTCAAATTATTAGTTATCACTGTAATTTATGGAAAGCAACTAGATTCTATGTGCAATATGAAAAATAAAACGTCTCACCTTCAAAATGTGTCAAATTAGTAACTTTTCAGATCATCTATTGTTACTGTGTATCATGACAATCAAATAGTCGCAGTTTGTGACTTTTAAAAGTTTAAAGATCGAATTATGTGAAGACAAAGAAAGAGGTACAAGGGGGAAGTTAACAGAGGCAGACAGATGCAAGACCGACAGGCACCACTGAATGGTGAAAACAGACTCGGGCATGCCTAGACAGATGCAGTGAAACAACTGAATGGTGAAAACAGACTCTGGCATGCCTAGACAGATGCAGTGAAACAACTGAATGGTGAAAACAGACTCGGGCATGCCTAGACAGATGCAGTGAAACAACTGAATGGTGAAAACAGACTCGGGCATGCCTAGACAGATTATGTGTGCAAACTACAAGAGAGAAAAAGTATGATCATATGTGCATAATAGTAGTCTAAGTAGTTCAAACTGCGCATCACGCAAAGTTGGTTGAATTTGCTAGCCAACTACCAATAAATATCCATTTGGCCTTTCACGGCCATGAATTACTGATTTATTTACAATGTCTAAACGAAAAAAAGATGTATCCATCAACATTGTTATACTGTATCTACTATAGGTTGAAGCTCCTAAATTTTTCTAAAAATTAACATTAGATCTTGCAAGTAAACAGGGATGTATAATGTGGTTTTTCTCACAGATATCCTAAGGTCAGAGCCACTAACGGTCTAAATTACTTAAAAATATTTTTTTAACCCCTTGCAGTGAAACAACCGATTTTCTAGCAATTTGGACAAAAATATCATGGATAATCTCTCCTAATGCATGCTACCATGAAATCTATTGTTTTTAAAGTGGAAATTATTAATGGGATATTATCGTGTGACAGGTCCCCTTTGTAAGATCATATAAATAAATACATAGACAAAATCATCTAAAATTTTGATTTAACACATTCTTAATCTTACTACATTATGTTGGTTTGTACTAAACACTTTTCTGGAATTAGATGATATCCCCCCCAAAAAAAGCACAAAATAGAACAAAACACCTCGAAACTATTCTACTGTGCAGATGTCAATTTATAGTTGATTTAAGCAGAACATCAATGAGGAGTGTACAAATGATTTTTGAATTGATGTGGAAAAAATTCAGTGAGTGAAGTATTATATCATAACAATTTTGGTGAGCATTATACCATCTCTTGCTGGGTTCAGTAAGCATGCGATGCCTGATCCGAAAGCCAAAAGTGACTTTTGAAAAAAAGAAGTGGAGATGTGTCCTGGATACAACACATCGTATGGCTGGTTTTCAGAAGTCTCTTGATCCTCAGTATGATGAGCTTCATCAAGTTCTGCATGATCACCAGAGCCTGTGGGGAGAAACACAAAGATGTGGCAGGTCAATGGATGGGTTAAGTTGGGCAAAATAAAATAAATGTTCTAGATTTAAGGTTAATATAATATACTCTCGAACCTGTCCCAGACGACCATTCATTGTTGAGGAGAAAAATTTCTACTCATCGCACAGCAGCAAAGTATGATGTCATTTTGGTGGTGAAGAGTGACAAACAGGTGAAAATATCTCTTTGCATACTTGCAGCCATGTGACATGGGCTAGTGTGTGTGCAGGAAAATAGGCGAATAATAATTGGGGGGTGGGAACTACCGAAAAAGCGCCACCAGGCTAAATTGCTCCTCTAATATATTTAAACCAAAACATCACCTTCTTTTCATCATATACACAGCCTGTGTATATATATATACTTATTTATATATAGGCAGTGTTAATTGCGACAGAGTGACGCGGTGACAACTAACACGGCGTTAATTGCGACAGAGTGAACACAGAGCTCTATAGTGTTGATGATAAGATCTAGATCTAGATCAAACATCATCTACCATTTCCGCTTCTCCCAGCGTGGTCCTAGTTATCTAGGCTAGTCTCCGCCTGACAAGACTGAAGGCTTTCTTGAGCAGGCATTCAAATCTTACGGCGAATTTGACAAAGCTTTTGCTAAATTTAAAGATGAAAATTTTGTTGCCTTTAGGTCCCCCCCAAATAGACTCACCTCTTTGTGGTCGGGGGTGGGGGGGGACTAGTACTCTTCGAATAGGAAAAGAAAAAGAGGAAGCTAACGGGTCAAGGGGTGACCCCGAAAAGAGACATATTACTTTACTATGTTTCTTACTCTTTCTATTTATTGTTTTTTTTATTGTTTTACTTTATTACATTTATTAACTTTTCTTTTCTCCTCTCTCCATCGACAACCTTTCTTTGACCTGGAGTTGGGATGGGTATTGGTGGGGTGGAAAGCAGAGGTTCATTGTCAGCACTGTACTGGATGTAACTTTACGTAGGGAATACCCAGCTATATACATGTATTAAGCATGCACTTATCGGAGAGCCCTATGACTGCGGAGAAGGTGCAAAGACCATTTGCGTCTTGCTTGTTGACAACATTAACCCTCTGGGATCTGCCATGTCTTCCCCTGCCCCCATCTCTCGGATGAGAGGACTTGGTTGCTCTGGGAGGAAGGGGAAAAATCTAGCTTCCAATTGGTATTATTATTACTATTAGTATTATTATTATTATATTACAATTTTTTTATTTCAGCAACACACAGAAACTATGCTCTTAATAGCGTCTTTCTCTTCTTTATCTCCTCAAACAACTTCTCAATATAATACAACAGGCACCAACATACCCATTCATTTTTCTTACAATCTCTCTGTGATGGAGTTGGGTTTTTGTTTGTGGCATTGCACCTACAGCCACTGCTTTATCTCCTACCCTGGGATGGAAGGAAAATCACAGAACCACCAGTTTTAGATGCTATTCACAAATGATAGAATCCCATACGAGCTGAGACGCCGCCTCGGTAATCACGGTCTCCCCCAGGTCTCAGTGGCCTGGTGGATGGTTATTGGAAGAAACAGAAAATCAGAAAGCAGAGAAAATGGAAAAACAAGAAGTTGCCTTTAGGAAGAAATCATCTGAAACTGAAATAGTTGAGAAGATGGACTTAAAGAGTGTGGCAAAAATCCACAAAGACTTTCTGTACATTAGAGTCGAGGCAACAAATATTCCAACAAAACATTAGCAGCATTCAACAGCAACAAAAACCACTCGGGGCAACAGCAACAACAACAACAACAAGAAAAGAGCTGCGACTGTCTTTGTCTGTTAGTTTGGTGTGTGTGTGTGTGTGCGTGTGTGTGTGTATGTGTGTATGTGTGTGTGTGGTGTGTGTGTGCGTGTATAAGGCCACAAGCGTGTTTGGTGTGCGTTTTTGTGTCTGTGTTTGTGAGTGTATAAGTGTGTATGTCTGTCTCTGTGTGTGTGTGTGTGTGTATGTGTATTTGTATGTGTGTGGGTGTGTGAGTGCGTGTGTGTGCATGTGTGTGTGTGTTTTTTTGTCTTAAAATTATTTTTTTTGGTCACAGACTCACTCTGTCTCAATTCACGCTGCATTATGCGGCTCTCTCTCTCTCTCTCTCTCTCTATATATATATATATATACGCAGTGGCTACGTTTACGGTGCCGTGAACGTAGTCTGCAGGCTATGTTCATGGCGCCCTGAATGCAGTTTGCAGACGCTGTTGAGGCTACGTTCACAGCACTTAAGCCTCGTTTAGACGGAGCGTCCACTGCTGGTTTAAGTAAGCCGGTTTTAGTCAGTGATGACAGCGACGTATATTTAATATTTTGGTCTGCTTCAAGTGTTCCATCCCATGAGATGAAGGATAATAAAACAGTGATCCTTGACCGATCGACCATTCGTCGTCTTCCCTTACACTGAGCTGTGGCTCAGAGCTCGCCAGTGTAAGGGAAAATGATGAACTCTCAATTATGCAACAACGCATTAGGATATATTATGACAAAAATGTATACACCTACCAAGATGTTTCAATTGCCCTATCTCGCATCCGGGCGAGACTTGGGTGTGAGCTTTAGCGCGTAACGGCCCGTGATACGAGTGTAAACAAACGTTCCAGTGCTCTCGAGTTGAAAGCGTGCAATTTTGTCTGCAGGCAGTGTGTGTATGTGTGTGTGAGAAAAAGAGAGAGAGAGAGAGGGAGAGAGAGAGAAAAGGTAGACAGACAGACAGGCAGAGAGAGAGAGAGAGCAAAAAAAAAAGAGACACACAGAAAGGGATGAAGAGGGGGGGGGGGAGAAAGACGGGAGAGAAAGAGAGAGAGGGTGTTGATTATTAGGCCTATAATTCCCGTCATTTTCTCTCTGCGTCGGTTCCCAGGCTGACCCGGTGCAATACAGTCATTATTGTACACATTTTATGACCAGTCTGATCTTCCGAATCCCAACTTCTGTGTCCCATCTCTCACCTCTTGTTTCCCATGTAACCGTATCCAATTTTCCATATCCCATCCCAACTTTTATTCTGTAATGGCGCTTCGTTTTCCTTCATCTCATGGGATGGAATGCTGGCCAAAATATTAAATAAATTCACTGTCGTCATTGACTAAAACCGGAAGTGGACGCTCCCCCTAAACGAAGCTTTAGTGCCTGAATGTAGCCTCAACAGTGCCTGCAAACTGCATTCAGGCCTCGTGAACGTAGTCACTGTGACTGTGATATATACAGTCGAACTTGCCCTGATGGCCACTTTTCATTTCCCCCCTTGAATTTTTTCTATATAATTTAACTGTGTAAAACGGGCACCTGTCCAACGGGCCGCGGCCACCATATTTTAACACATAACCGCTTTCACACAAAGCAATAACACCTGTCTTAGACGGCCACCTCAGTGACTCCATTACCTCTTGTCATAAATTGTGCATTGACCCCTGGCGTTGTGGGAGAGCCGTCATAATTCAATCACCTGTCGTCGTTGTTAGGTAGTCCCTCCAATTGATCATGATGCGTAGGCCCCTCCCCCTGTTGACCAATGGGTACTAATTCTCAGCTGCTGTTGAGGTAAGCGTGTGATCTCTCATACCCCATAAGCCCCGCCCAGAACTCATACACAAATCGTAAGTGAGATGAGTGGTCACTGTTTACCCAGTCTGTAACAAAGTAACAATATGAACTTGCAACAGAAGCGTTGTTCGTTCTCCGAGTGGTGGCAACCCATGTGTTTGTTTTAACATGGCACTCGGTCTTCCTCGTCTGATACATTTCGTTTTATTGTCACCTTGCGCAAAATCAGCAACAAAAATAAAAATTACAAACAAAATACAAACCAACAACAATAACAACAACAAAATCAACAACAATGCGGCCACTTTCGATTGGGACCTCAGAATGATGGGAATGGTTTGTTTTCTTCATCTTGACCAGTCCTGCCTAAGACGGCCACTTTTTTCCTTGACAATGGGTGGCCGTCTTACACAGGTTTGACTATATTTCTTTCTTTCCATTTACCGCCCACTGCTACACTGTGTATGTCGTTACGTTTACTTTATATAAATACTAGCTAGATTCTAACTAGATCTAGATCTAAATCTAGATCATTCTAACGACCAGCAACTATCATAATCATAATCATTATGAAATGATCATCCATGATCATGTCATACTCATGGTCACATTACATCATACTTTATTATCACAGTCATGGAGAAACTTAAAGGGGGGTTATCTAATCTCTACAAAAGGTTCAGGTTTATGAATTTGAAATGTTTCCAATGATGAAAGTGCTCACTCAAGGATCTCGACGGGACTTTTAGACTTTGGGAATGCCACTTTCTCCATCGAGAAAGCCGGCAGTATGTAAAGTGTCTCACAGCTGCAGACATTTTGTAATGTCTAATATTAGCATTAACTCCCTTCCCATTTGATCACAGGGAGAAGTTGTTGATTTAGTTTTTCCTGAGTTATTTCTACGTAAAATAAACGGAGTTTTGACTTTCAAAAATCAAGCGACATCGTTATTAAGATAGACATAAACATTTTTCTATCGAATATATTAAACATAATGTTATTTTCTTCAAATGTAAAACATTTCTAACGTGCAACTGAATATTGGGAAATCCCGATGACAGAATACAGTGATTTCCTTCGCTTTCGCTTTGTTTACCATTGTCCTGCCTGCCTGTGTCCTTTCAGTCATATCAACAAGGCTTGCTTTTCAAACGCGTTGCCCGTCTTTGGATGTCACATTTGTGTGGATGTGCTCTCATATCAACTGCTTGATACAAAGATCAGACCGCATTCTTTTCGTTCCTGAGTCTCACAACACATCGTGTTATCTCACCATGGTACAACATGCCATGGATTGCGTGGCCGCAATTACCAAGGACGCTGTATGATACTTCTACTTCTGTTGACAAAACAACGTTTACAAAGCTCGGAAAGTCTTTCAATTTAATGTGACACCTGACCAAGAACCAGTTTTTGGTTATTTAATTGTTATTTTTATATTTTAGATAGGCCTACAATTCTAGGATTTTTTGTACGAGAGTCTGCTCGGATCCTTCTGTGAAATCTTTGTTGTTAGTTTGAACCATCGGTCTCGGTCTCGTCAAGTCACAACAATTGTCAACATGTCAGTCTTTTGGCAAGTATCAAGGCATGTTTATCACCAGTGTGCTAGAACCTCTGCTTCTTTATCACGCTTTGTTGGCTCACGGCAGTATTACACGCATGGTATAAACCCAGTGGCATCTCAAATATTTCTGAAAAAGAGAGCTAAACTTGTGGCTGAGGCCGTCAGTGCAAATCGCACTCGTTTATTCTCCACAAGCTGGAGACATTTGGTCTCCTCCTCTGATGGAAAGAAAAGAGTTGGCGCAATCACTCCACGCCTTGCTGTATCATACAAATGTAATATTTGTGGCAACAGAAACACTCAAGCCTTTTCCAAGAAAGCGTACGAGGAAGGGGTGGTAATTGTGAAGTGTGAAACATGCCAAAGTAACCACTTAATGGCTGACAACCTTGGATGGTTCAAAGATGTGAATAAAAGGTAAGCCTTATTTTTGCTTTTTTTAATGTTGGTTAATTGCGACAGTGACGCTGTGACAACTAAGTTTTACTAACGCGGCGTTAAAATTGCAACAGAGTGAACATGGAGATCTTTTGCGTTGATGATTAGATCGAGATCTAGATCTAACATTATCTCTACCATTTCCGCTTCTTCCAGTGTGGTCTCCGCCTGACAAGATCATGGAAGGCTTTCTAGAGCCGAAGTGGCTAGCCGTACTTTAGTACGGCTAGACTGAGAGTCTAGCCGTACTTAAGTACGGCTAGACTGCCAGTGTAGCCGTTCTTAGATCTAGGTTTGGCCCTATCGACTCAAACCTGTTAAGTACACAGGCCTCATTAGATCTAGATCTAGTAATTATTCAGGTTCAAATACATGCAAGTCAGTAAGGCACCTTTGGTTTTGTCTGAAATACAAATACTTTAGGCATTGCAAACTAAAAATTTCATTTACAATTCAGCCATCAATATTAAGTACGGCTAGCCTGGGTGTCTACCCGTACTTAAGTACGGCTAGACTGCCAGTCTAGCCGTACTTATCTGAGGCCCTATTAACATTAGAAAACAGGAGGTTTAAAATACATGCACTGTCATTAAGGCACCTGGTTTCGTCTCAAATACAAATACTTTAGGTACTGCACACTAAAAATGTATATATTTACAATTCAGTAGGCCTATTTTTTGTAAATGGTCAGTCTAGCCATCATATTAAGAATAAGTACGGCTAGACTGCGAGTCTAGCCGTACTTAAGTACGGCTAGACTGCCAGTCTAGCCGTCATTAAGTACGGCTAGCCTCTTCCTTCTAGAGCAGCCTGCATTCCAATCTTGTGATGAATTTGACAAAACTTTTGCTAAATTTACAGTCTATATGAAAATTTTGTTGCCTTTAAGAAGAAATCATATGAAACTGAAACAGTTGAGAAGTAGGACTTAAAGAGTGTGGCAAAAATCCACAAAGACTCTTTCTAGGCCTACAATAGAGTCGAGGCAACAAATATTAAATATTACAACAAAACATCAGCATACAACAGCAACAAAAACCACTAGGGGCAACAACAACTAGAAAAGAGCCACAGGTGACTTTCTTTGTTTGTTTGTCTCTTAGTTTCATGTGTGTGTGTGTGTGTGTGTATATATATGCATGTTGTAAAGTGTATATATATATGTGTATAAGGCCACAAGTGTGTGCGTTTGTGTGTGTGTGTGTGAGTGTATGTGTGTGTGTCTGTGTGTGAGTGTGTATGTATGTGTATTTGTGTATGTGGGCGTGTGTGTATGTGTATTTGTGGGTGTGTGGGTGTGTGAGTGCGCATGTGTGTGTGTGTGTGTGTGTTTGTTTTTCTTTTTTCTTTTTTTGTTGCCACAGACTCACTCTGTCGCAATTAACACCGCATTTTAATTCTCTGTCGCAATTAACACTACGTTAGTTGTCACAGCGTCACTTTGTCGCAATTTTACGCTACCTTTTTTAATTGACTAAGTTTTGTCAAAAGAATTACAGTTATTTAAGAGTTGAAGACTTAGCAAGATTAGATCATATAGATCTATGAATCTCTTGATTTCTTGTTGTCAGTCCACTGATCACTGCTACTGGTTGTTTAACATTTTCTGAAAGCCACCCTCTTCCCCAATCCCACTGAAACAATTGGAAAAAATTCTTTACCATTAGACAAAGCAAAACTGTGCATTTTTACGTATAATATAAGTAGTTTAGCCAGCTATCTGATGGTGCATTGTGATTGGCCAATAGGTTTGAACAGCCCATTAGTTGAAGCTGAGAAACCTTATTTGACAGACAAAAATGGCTAGCTTACAACACTACAACAGTGTGTTTCAGTAGCCTCTGAACCTTGGAAGATACATTTTATTCTTAAGGATTGCATTGAGTCACTGTGTGTTTTTGAACTTCTTTTAATTAAAGCACTTCTAAATCTTAAAAAAAAACAACTCATATTTTAACATTATATATATTATAATATAGATTGGGATCTGGGATACTAGAATGTGTGGAAACATGATTTTATTTGATCTCTTTTTTCTCCTTTTTTTGTGATGCATGCATCTGTAATATCTTGAGTTGTACAGTGACTCACCATGTCATCGAGTCAGTTCTGTTAATTTATCTTGCTCAAATAGGGTTTTTGAACTTACTTTTATTGTATTGTCTTTTTTTGTGTGCTTACTTTGTCATCTTATTTCAGAGATTGGAGTTGTTGAAACAGTTCTAGCTAAATAATTATGAACTGCTGGTCATTCCTAACCTAACCTCAAATGTCAACTAAAGTCAAACCTTCAATTATACTGTCCCCCCTCCCCTTAAGCTACAATAATAGGTGGTGCCCATTGGAGGATCGGTTCGGCTCAGTTCAGTTTCTGGCGGCTTCAATGCGCACAATAAATAGACCAATTGTCCAGACCGATTGTCCAGTGCATTGGGCATGGCCTTAACATTATTTAGGGTCTTCGGTTTTGTTGGTTTGTGCCATGGTGGTGGCTTTTGCCCTTCCCATCGAGGATCTGGCCGGCCCTAGACGACCAAATTGACTGACTCGAACCTAACTGAACCGAACAGAACCTGCCAATGTTCACCGCTTATTAAGGAATGCCTATGTATGAATACTAATTGCCTTTTTAGACCGTCAACCGCCTGGGTCGTATGCTACTTATTAAACTAATTATATGTAAATTTGCCCCGCAACACCCCAGTTTACTGGCTATCAAAGGTTTACAATAAACACGGCACCCACTCGGCTGCTGTGAAGTGATATCCTCTCTCTTTTTCCCGTACAAGACTATACTATGTGAGCTTGTGATCGTCTCATTCAGGAAACCTGAAACAAATCCTTCTTATCAAGTTTTGGATAAAGGGAAATAACTCAATATATAATATTGACCTTCATTTAGTCACTGCAGGATCATTTCCCCTGGCCCCTTGCATTTGATAAGGACATGATCAAATAACTGAACTCTGCTTCTATTCTACCTGCTCCACAATGCTGCCAACTTCAGGCTGATGGCATAACACAGGTTGACTAAGTATGAAGAAGAATGAAAAGGATTTTAGAGCAAGTTGTGATTGTGAAATTCTATAAAGTTTACACAAGTTGTGTTGGACGAAATGTGTCATAACGTGGTGGTTTTAGGTGCTCATCAGGTTTTGGACATGTGGAGTTATGGTCATCACCCTAAAGCTTGTTCATTTGCCTAACTTTGGATGGAAAAAATATCCCACTACCTTGAATAGAAATCAAGATATTTGCTATTGAAGGAGGTGGAATAGCCTGGTTTCAGAGGTAAAATTAGCAAGAAAATGGACGTCAAAGTTTGGTAGCTTCCATAGCTTGAGAGTCCTTGGAATCTGAAAAGTTACAGCTTTTGGGCCTTTAATCAAAGTTCTTCTATAAGATCCAAACAGAAATGTGTTTTTAAATGAACATAAAAGGTGTTGAGCTAAAGAACAAAATTAGATAAAATTGACTAACTTGCAGAAAATTGCCTGCATCTTCGATTTCATTATTTTGACGAACGCCTGATTTCACCGTTATACCTCACAAATGGTGATAATTAATGTAGATGTTTTTATGTCTCTATTGACACAATTTAGATCATTAAAGAGGCGGGCTTTCAATCCTGCCTGTCTTGGCTAACTTAGGCTGAGAGGGAGACAGCATTCCAGCAGAGAAAACGAGATACTTGATAAAAATTTTCTCCCCTCTCAGGAATCAAGCTCGGGTCTCCTGCGTGCAACACTGAAGCACCTAACTGCTGTATCACAGATGCTGGTAGGTTGAAATGAAGCATGCTTGTTTCCAGTGAGATCTGTGTATGTACTGTTTTTCTTCTTTGGACTCTTTCTTTTTGAAAGACCAAACAACCTTGGTTTTGATTGTATTTTTATGGAAGTTCTCAGACAGTATTTCTCTTGACACACTGAAATCTAGATCATTTGTCATTGTTTCTTATGGTACCTTCTTTCTTTTCTTTACTTACAACACAGAAACATTGAAGAGATACTTGCTGCAAAGGGAGAGGAAGTCAAGAAGCTCAGTTCATTTGACATTCCGCGTGAAATATTGGAGAAGTTGGATTCGACCAAGGAAGAGTAGCTGTCAAACTAAAACTGATGGACACGTTTGACTGATTTACAAATGTGTTTGTCTTTCAAATTACACTGCTATTGATCTGACTTCAAAGTGTTTATTGATGATGTTTTAAATTTATTTTGTTTAGCTGCCATTGTCTTTGTAGATTTCAGATGTTTTTGGTCCTTTTGAAACTTGATGTGTTTTCATAGACGTGAGATGAACTTGTTGTTAAAGTGGGGTGGAGTTGCAGAAAACTGAGATTGCCACCGATTTTAGGTGAAAAGAAAAGCCTACAAAAACATTTTGTGTGTTTCATTGACATTAGAACATGTCTCCTGGGAAGCTAAAAATTCCTGACAATCAGATGTTGACAAACGAGTGAAAAAATAATGATAGATCACGTTTTGTCTTTTTAGTACCAAAAAAAAAATGAGGTTGAGATGATATGTTTAAAAACACAAGGGATGAGATAAATGGAAAAACCATTGGATGCAATAAAATATTATTGATATCCAAAGTGACAGTTGAGTAGAATTAATATTCTTATTTCAGAAAACCACGATAAAAAGGGTTTTGTAATCGTCTTCATCTAGTACTAGTATTACATTCAAAGTCACCTTGATGGGCAATTTCACAGTTTTTTACGTAACACTTTTAAAAACTTTGCGGACAGTAAAATCTGTCAAAAGCATGAAATTGCGTAAGTCGTAGCTTTCGAAAACAAATGTCAACATCCCATCCAAATTTTCATGGAATACGTTTACTTGTGGTCTCATCTGTTTATACAGTTACATACTGGAATTGGAGACCCCATATTATACAAAGAAAGTGTAGCAAAATCATGTTTTTATGCATTGTTTAACATTCAGGGATTTACAGTATTTATATCTATAACCAGACATGGACTAAGTGTTAGCGTTTGCTTTCTTTTAAAGCATACTTTTATTATAATAAGTGCTTTTGTAGTAATGACTGTTTTGTTTTAGTGTATTATCTCAGTACAAATGTATGTCATAGTCACATTCTAATTTTGTAACTTTTTTTTTCAGTTCTGACTATAATCGGTTAAATCTGAGTTAGTTGGAATGTCTCTCCATAGCAGTTTATTAGCTCACTGATTTCATTGCTGCATTTTATTTTTACCCATTATATGCATCCTGGCACTTACTTTGTCTATTGTGTCAAAGTGCTGTAAAATTCAAATTGTATGGATGTCTTAGTCTTCAATTTGAACCTTTTGTCCTCTCATTTTCTTTGCATGGTTGTGCTGTCAGTTCAGGTGCTACATTGATGGTAGATTATGGTCAGGATGTATCACAGCTGGCATCTTTTTACTTAGACTTAGAAGTTGGGTTGTTTGGTGTTTTCAGATCTTTTTACTTAGAAGTTGGGCTGTTTGGTGTTTTCAGATCTTTCCTATCGCTTCACTCATTCCTGTAGAAGGTGGACTATCCAGAGGTGCCATCTTTTGAATGAAATGTCTATCAATGGCTTACGGATTGAAAGAGAAAACGAACACATCTAGGAACAAATTTTTTGACTTACAGATTGTATGTGGTACATACCAACTTGGGAAATAGTGATGTAAACGGATATTTTAGATTGAGTGGGCTCCACATATGCATGTAACATGGGTATGCTGAAGATAATGTGTGCACAATGAGCATTTAAGCAAAATTCAATGTCTATAATCATATAGGTGAAACAACGGTGTGTCACTCGTGTCAGAGTTAGTGCGTATCAAATTAATTTAAATTTAACCAGTTACATTTTCTTATTCATGTGATTAAAAAAAATTATTATTGATGTCACAAAACCTGCATTCAACAGTGACTTGCTAGTGCTGATTTTGTGGGGGCTTTTTTTTTCTTCCTGGATGGGTGTTTATTTGATGTGTATAAGAATATGACCCATGTTTGGAGAAGGATTTTCTTTGCAATGCCTTTTTGAATTGATACCATTCCATGAAAAGTGAAACTGTAATAACACACCTAATGTGAGGATGATGACCTGCTGGAAAAAAAGGATAAATTAGTAGAGACATAGCTTCTTCTGTTTTTTATGTTTTGTTTTGGTAAGTGTTCTACTGTGTTTGCCACTGCATACGGTTTTTATTTTCATGTTGCCCATATGAGCAACCTTTCTGTAACAAAGAATGGCTACATCACAGCGTATCATTTTTTTTAGCAGGCGACCATCCCCTCATTTAGGTAGCCTATGTCACTGCAGTTTCACTTTTCACAGAAAGGCCCATTGTGTGACGTTTCTTATTTTGCAGCTCATTGAAGTACAATCTTTCATCATCTTGTTTATGAAAAAAGTTGTTTTGTAACTCTTTTTTATGAAATGTCCTTCTGAATCGGTCGCTTTTAAGGACAAGTGGGCTGACCCAGATTTTGGGGGTTTCCAGAAATCTTGACCTACACCAAAAGTGGGCTTTGCGCTACCTATACAAGAAGTTTGGTTTCAGTGGTGCGTTTATTTGTTTAGTTATAGAGAAAACTCTCCTAGTCTTTTAAAGGAACTGAACAAGGGGCAAAAACTTTACCTTCGATTTTCTCAAAAAAGCATTTTTCGGGTGGGTTGAATTATTGGGTACATTGTGATTAAGTAAAATCACTGAAAGGATGAGGCAGTTATTTCTATTTTACTGGTAAGCAAAATGTACTGAAATGATCTGTGGGTTGGAGTGGACATACAGTGGAGTCTGCTTAAACCGAGCACAGCTGATCTAAAAACAGCAGTTACACCAAAATAAAATCAAATCTGCAACGTGTTTTTTTTGTTTTAACAACCTCTCTAAACCAACTGGCAAGACGGAAGAAAATCCGGTGGCCCTGCAGACTTCGTTTTTTGTGGACTCATTCGTAATTATGCTAAGTGTTCTGAAAAGACCAGAAGTAGAAGGTAATTTTATTTTGAAACAAAATGTACTGAGCTGAAATGATGCGTGGGCTCTATTTGATATGATTAAAACGAGAGTAACTCACTCTCACATTTATGTCATTTTTTTGCAGATTGTTAAAAATTGTTCTTCCTAGAAAAATGTAAAATATACACTAATTGTACCATATATGCATTATTGCATGAGATACCCGGTACAAGTCTTTTGAAAGTGCATGCAATGCTAGATCTTTCTACTAGTCAAAGTGTGATGACTATCAGTTCGTGCATACTACCAGAAAGTTTATAATGCTGTGAAATGTTAACTCCGGTCTTAAGTATTGACCAGCATTGCTTGTGCAGTCTCAGATCTTTGCTCTGTGGTGCTGATCATAATTCTATGACATTAAAAGATTCTGTATAATTCCGGTGCTGAAAGGAGAAATTCATTTTTTTGTGATTTATATTATAAATGCACATCTTGAAGCAGGTTCAACAACAAATTGCTTTTAATTAATGGTGCTTTTCATTTTCAAGGCTATATCATATCTTTCCTTTGTCAACTGGATTAGAACTTCGTTTTTAATAGTCATGACTGTTAAAAGTAAATTTGTCTTTGTAAGGGTTGGGAATCTGAGCTTATTATAAAGTAAATTTGTCTTTGTAAGGGTTGGGAATCGGAGCTTATTATAAATGTCTGGAGGAAATGGTGTACATGTAATTAGGTACCGGTTCTATGTGCAACTAATGAATAATGTGATTGTTTTGAGCACAACAGCAGATTCGTGTTGATGTTGGGATTGTGCCTTTCCATGTAAAAAAAAAAAAAAATCAAAAGAAAAGAAAACTGCCTTGTGATTATAATGTGCCATGTTTGTTGACCTTTGTGTGTGTTCCTGTGAAATGAATACATGTATTCAAAATGAATTTTTGTAATCAAATTTTACAGAATGCAATATCTGGAAAGTGGAGATCATAAGGCCTACATGTATATGCTACACATAATATAACTAGGTTGGTTTACATTTCTTTTTCACTTGAAAAGTCTTCCCAGAATGGTGGTTTAAAAAATGGGTGACCTTATTTAGGCCACATATGGCGTAAATAAGCTAAACCCCCCTCCCTTACCTTATTTAGGCCACAGG